CTTGACCCTGACCCTGCAGCTGACCTCAGATTAGTGCAGCAGGAGCCTCCTGGCCACTGTTCAGGACTGGATGCAAGCTTTGGCGCAGAACACAGTACCTCAGCCTCCCCGTGTGCTCGAAGGTCCTCCGGGCCTCTGCTTTGTCTCTAGATGCATGGGTTCGGCCTGGGGTAAGACAGGTCGGGCTGGAGATCACCTGCCCGCTCCTTTACCTTTCCTCTGCAGACAAGCCCTGTCGCTGGTGTTTCTCAGTGCCTCTGTGTGATGGCTTGTGTCTAGAGGGCCCCCGAAGCCTCAGGGGGTCAGAGGCAGCTGGATCTACAGCGTGCAAGGCGGGATGAAGGATGTGGTGCTGGCGCGGCTTTCTGGTGTGATGGTAGGATCAGGGCTGCCCCGTCTGGGGTGTGAGTGCTACCGGCCCTTAGGGGATAGAATACAAGAGACGGAAAAGGGCTGCTGTTGTCACTTGCGGCTTCTGTCTTCTGCCTGCCCACTCTGCAACACGCCCCCTGCACGCCACCCTGCCTGGGAGCCAGCCAGCTACGAACTGAAAACTCTACCAACTGCATGCTGCACCGTAAACCCTCCCTCCTTTACCTCTGGGTATTGGGTGTTTTGTCTCAGCAACGAGAAAAGTAACGAAGACACTGCGTGAGGGCTTTCTTACTAGAGACAGCGAAGTTACACAGAAATTCACATATAGGCAGAGAGGGATCAGGCCCTCAGAGAAGTCAACACACAACAAATAAAGACGGCAGGATTGTGGGGGAGGGGGCAAGCCCGAAGACTGCCAGCCTCTCGCTGCAGAAGTACCGCCCGCTCATGGGGGCCCACTGGAGCTCCAGGCCTCGCTGCTCAGGTCTGCAGCCTCTCTAGAGATAAACTGCAATTTGAGATTACACCATAATTACACCACCCGCCCGGTACGCCCATATAGGCATTGGACTTGTAGGTGAGACACCAGAGTATCCGGATGCTTACTCCCTCCCCTCCCAAAGATTCCTTTGCTTTTCCATGTACGCTTACTACGCAACTCCTTTCGTTGTTGGATCGATAGTAGCTAGGCGACTGACTATACTTGTAATGCTATAGGTTCGTTGTAGCTTGACCCACGTTGTACCCACATTGTGATTGTGCGGTATCAGTTACCCTCCCGGAACTCCAGGAGCTGTTCTCTTCCTTGTTTCCGATACAGCGTTCCTAACTTCTTTTGATTCCTGACTTCCTTCCCCAATGTTGTGAGACTACAAACTCGCATGTCTGACACCTACCCTTACCAGGTTGGGTTATATGTTTCCTATCTCCGTGATATACGAACCCAGAAACCACTGCGGAGGTGTGCGCCCTTCTGTTACACCTGTCAGATCGCCGGTTCCTCTCATCTTTGGGGCCACAGACCTGGCTATTGACTCCTCACAGACACTTTGGACAGAGTTTTAAAGGTTTGTCGACTCCCCAAGGCTCACCAGGGAGTCACGCTGGGATTCCATCCTAGGCAGTGACTCAGACACAGGTGGCCTTGGTGTCAGGATGCTTGGTGCTCAACTGGGACCTGTTGGCCTGCTCTGCAGCCCCGGCACCACAGCTGTGACAGGAACCTCAATTCCCACCCTTCTGGGGGTGCTGACACACTTTTGTTGGGTGACTGAATAGTTTTCAGCAAGATCAAGAGGCAGTTCTTTTGTTGACCAGTCATGGTGGTGGAGTCCTGTAATCACAGCACTCTGAGAGGCTGAGACAGGAGGACTGCAGGTTTAAACCCAGCTCAGGCCATTTAGAAACTTAGGGAGGGCCTGTCTCAAAATAAAAGATTAAACTTAAAAATACTAGATATGAGCTGGGCGTGGTAGCGCACCCCTGCAACCCCAGCACTCAGGAGGCTGAGGCAGGAGGATCATTGAGAGTTCGAGGTCAACCGGGGCTACAAAGTGAGCTCAAGGCCAGCCTGAACTGCATAATGAGACCCTCTCTCAAAAAGACAAAAACAAACAAACAAACAAACAATACTAGCTATGGAGCTCAATGTAAAGGTCCTGGATAAAAAGGAAAGGAAAAGGATACAGAAAAGGTATTTGGGGGACTAAAACGTTTCTACCCCGGTTTAACCCAGAGCAAGAAGGGGATAGATCTTCACATCTACAAGGGGAAGTGTCAGGTGTAGTCGCTAAAGTCACTTTCCGCGTTCAATTAACCCAGGACGCGCAGCGGCTTCCACGTGCTTCCGGAGGACCGGAGGGGCTGCGGATTAGGAAGCCAGTCTCCGCCCCAGGATCCTGCCAAGCGGCCTTGAGTGGAGATGGACGCAGGCACAGCCCTCGCTCCACGCCCACCCCTGCCAGGTGCAGGGGAACGGAGAACGCGGCAGTTTCCGTGTGGGGGGGCGTGGCTTAGAAAATGAGTGTTGCCGAGAATAACTGTGCAGAGTAAGCGGACTTGCCCCTGGACTCATTTCACGCGGGCCAACTGAGCCGTGAAGAATGCGCGCTCAGGCGATGGGGTTTTGTTGTGCTGTGTTTGAGCCATTGTTCCTGGCTGCTGTGAGGCTCAATTGTCTCTCCGGGCTGCACTCCACGGCTGATAATGAAACCATTATAGGATGGGGAGGAGATCCAGAACCCGGGCAGGCCAGGCTCTGGGACTGGCCGGGGGGCGGGCAGGGTGAGGGAACAGGCAGGAGCGGCTAAGCCTGGGCCTGACTCCCTCTTCTGAATCGTAGGTATTTGGTATTTGTACGCAGGCCACACCACACACACTAGGTGTGTAAATCTATTCCGCTCCTTGTTTCTGTTTTTCACTATTTTCTTTTCTTCTTCTTCTTTTTTTTTTTGTCTTTTTGAGACAGAGTCTCACTATGCAGTTCAGGCTGGTCTTGAGCTCACTTTGTAGCCCAGGCTGGCCTCGAACCCACAACGATCCTCCTGCCTCAGCCTCCCAAGTGCTGGGATTACAGGTGTGTGCCACCACCCCTGGCTTGTTTTTCACTATTTTCTTCCCATCTTTCCCACTTTGAGTTGTAAATATCCTCTGTGTGCTGGGATTGTTTTATTTTTTTGCGGTACTGGAGGGTTAAACCCAGGGAACACTGAACTACACCTTCAGCCCTTTTAAAAATTTATTTATTTTTCACTTTGTTGGGACATCACAGGCTCTGGCTATGTAATCCAGGCTAGCCTCAAAATCATGGCACTCTTCTTGTCTCAGCTCCCAAATGCTAGGATTACAGCTGTGTACCTCCACACCCAGCTCCTTTTGTATTTTTTAAATTTTGAGACAGGGTCTTACTGAATTGTCCAAACTGTCATCAAACTTGGGTGGTTTTTTTTTGGTATTTTATTTTATTTATTTATTTTTTTGAGGCAGGGTCCCACTATGTAGTTCGGACTGGCCCTGAACTATGTAGCCTTGAACTTGCAGTGATCCTCCTGTCTCAGCCTCCTGAGTGCTGGGATTATAGACAAGCACTACCACACCAAGTTTGTCATCAAATTTGTGACCCTCTTGCCTCAGCTTCCCCAGTAGCTGGGATTGTAGTAGTGCCTGGCTTGTGTCCTGTTTTTTAAACCATGTTATATAATATTGTAAATGATGTTACTTAGTGTTATGAGGAGCTTTTAGAAACATTCATTTCAGACTGTGAAAGTAGAGCATATTCATTATTTTCTTAAAATGCAGACAATACACAAAGACAATGAAAAATCACCCTCAATATTTTGAAGTTTATCCTTGAAGACTTGTTTTAGTAGCCAGGCATGGTGGCCCATGCCTGTAATCCCAGTACTCAGGAGACTGAGGCAGGAGGATCACCTTGAATTTGAGGTCAACCTCGGCTATAAAGTGAGACCCTGTCTCAGAAGCAAATAAACATATCGACTTTTTTCCTCTTTTTTAAAATTCTTTTTTCGGGACAGGACCTTGCTTTGTAGTCCAGGCTGGCCTCGAACTTACGGCGATCCTCCTGCCTCAGCCTCCCCAGGGCTGGAATTACAGGCGTGTGCCACTGCACCCGGCTTAATATATCACTATTGTAGCAGTCCTCATCATCTTCTCTCCTGAGCATTAATCCCTAGAAGGAGAACCGGTGGGCCAAAGACAATGTACACTTACTATTTTGAAATACTGCTTACCAGCTATGGCTCCAGTAAGCGCGTAACAAAGGCTCCTTATCCCTCCCTCTTGCCAGCATAATTATCTTTAATAGCTGCAGAATAATCCCGAATCAATGCTCAGGGAACAAAGCCTCCAGTATGAAGACAGTAAATGGTACTTTTACGCTCCCCCCAAAAAGAAACAATTTAAGACCTTTGCTGAGCACGGTGTCCCTGTCTTGGGACCCGGAGGGCCCGCGTCCAAATCCCCGCCTCGCAGCCCGAGGTCCTGCCCCGCGCGGCCGCGAGGTGGCGAGGGAGGCCGGCCTGGCCGGGGCGCGAACCGGTCAGCCCGGGAAGGAAACTGCGCCGCAGCCCCAGGACACCTGGGACGCTGACGACGGGCTCCGGGAAGAAGCCGTGGCTCCCGCGGGAAACCGGGGCTGTAACGGCCGTGGGGCGGAGCGCGGCCGGGCCGGGGACGCTCTCTTCCGTCCCCCGATGGAGCGCAGGCTGGGAGCTGCGGCTCTGGGCGTCGCTGCGGGACCGATGAAATAACGGGGACCACCCCCCGCTGAACACAGACCCCAGGCTTGGTGTCCTAATGCGTGGAGGCCACCGGGGCCCGGGGAGCGGCTCAGGAGAGTCCCTGCATTTCACTCCTTCCGCCCCGAAGGTCGGGGAGCTGTGCTGGCGGTGGAGCTGGGGAGCGGGAATAGTACACACGCAGGAAAAGTACTCCACATGCCGTGACAGCGTCCTCTTGGGAGAAGAGCCACGTCCTCCCGGGCAGCTGTGAGGTCCGGGAAAACCCAGTCCCCCAGCACCTCCGGTTCAGTTCCCCTGTCCAATGCTCTGCTGGGGGACGGCGCGTGGACGCCCCTAAGAATGAGGGCACGGGGGGGGGGGGGGGGGCCGGACTCTGTGGTGTTGGTTGCCATGGTTTTGCTTCGAGTTCTGCAGCCGACCTGCCCACCTCCGGACGCTCAGGTCGCCGCAACAGTAGGTCGGGAGCCAGAGGGTACACGAGGCAGCCAGGCTGGAGCCTGCAGGCGAACCTGCTGCGATGGAAGCCCCGGCTGGGCGAGGGGCCGAAGGCCACAGGCCGCGAGAGAAGGTGAAACAGGCTGGGGGCCGCGGGCGGGAGGCGAGGACCGTCCTGAGGGGCTGGCTTGGGGAAGCAGAGAATTTGAAATTCATGGCAGTAGAGAAGAAGACAAAAAGGTGGGTATGTGAGTTAGCAAGGGGCCCAGAGGACGAGATAAGGTCATTCGTTCGCACAGATGGGCTAGGGGCACGGCGGTGTTCTGCGCATGGCCTGTCCCTCGTGATCAATGTCATCGTTATATGCTGCACACATGTGCTGATAAAAATAAAAGTGAAACTCCAGGCGTGGTAGCCCACGCCTGTAAGTCCCAGCACTCGGGAGGCTGAGGCAGCAGGGTCTCTGTGAGTTTGAGGCCAGTCTGGGCTACATAATGAGACCCTCTGTCAAAACAAAACAAAACACTAAATAAATAAATAAATTTTAAAGAAAGGGATGACAAACAGATGCTTATCGAAGCCATGTATTCCTGGTGAGGTGTTGGGACCCTATTTTTTTTGTTGGTCTTGAAGATTCAAGGCTATGTGCACAGGCACATGTGTGGACACTCGTGTTACAGGTGTATGTGTGTGCGTGTGCGCGTGCACGCATATGTGTGATTGGCTTGTTGTAGTTTTTTTGTTGTTGTCTTTGGGGACAGGATCTCGCTATGCAGTTTTCACAGTCACTTTGTTCGCACTGACCTTCAGCTCTCTTTGCCCTCCTTTCGTGGTTGAAAGGCTGTCGTCATGAGCGTCACCCTCTTTCGATGAGTGCCCTGTAACTGCCAGGTGTAACACTAAGCTCAGGGATGTAAAGCCGAGGGCCTGGGACTTGGGTAGTCAACAAATGTTTGCTAAGTGAAAAATAGAAACAAGAACACACCAAAAAGCCCCTGTTTGACAGCGTGACTAATGTGTTGTGCTTGTTATAAGTGGAGTGGGTAGCCAGGTGTGGGCCCCACACTTGTAACTCCAGGACTCTGGGAGGCTGAGGCAGGAAGATCACTGCAAGTTCACCACTAGCCTGGGCTACATAGTGAAACCCTGTCTCAATAAACCAAAAAACAAATTATTAAACAAATAAATGGCTGGGCTGTAGCTCAGTGAAGGCCCTGGGTTCAATCCCCAGTACCAAGAAAAAAGAAATGAGAAAGAAACTCAGACTATCCTAGGTTGTCCAAGCGGAGGTTCTCAGAGATGGGTCTCTGGGCGCATCAGTGCTGGGCTGGGAAAGAGTGACCAGGAGCACGGAGAGGGCCGAGCCTACCCAACACCACTCCTGGGTGGCCATACGCCTCAGCCACCCGCCCTGCCTCCCCAGGTGACCAGTGTGCCCCGCCTAGGGAGGAGCTCCGGCGCCATCCCCGCCAGAGGCTTGCTCGTCAACCATGCCGAGGGCCTGGACTTCGACACCTTCAAAATTGTGAGTGCGGGCCTCCTGGAAGCCTGTGTCCTCGTGCCCCGTGAGGAGCAGGCCGGCCTAAGCTCATCGCCCTCTTGTCACTCTTTAGACAATCTGGGGGGAGCCTCCTCGATGAACCCATAGGGTGCCTCCTGGGCCACTAAGGGCTGCAGCCGCACCGGTCTGCCGTCGCGAAGCTCAGCCTGTCTGCCTCTTCTTTTCCCCCCTGGCCTTCACCTTGCCCATTGCCTCCGCAGTGTAAAGAATACTTCAGACCGCTGAAGAAGTTCCTGCGAAAGCTGCACCTGCCCAAGGACCTTCCGCAGAAGAAGAGGTTGAAGCACGTGAAGCAGAGCCTTGTGGTGCTGGGGGATCACGCCAACACGTTTCTGCAGCACTGCTGCCGCACCTGGGAAATCAAGCGGTGGAAGAAGTAGGGCGGCCTCCTTGTCCTTCCCTACACCTGCTTCTGGGCCACCCCACCTCCAATCAAAGTCACACCTTAGGCAATATCACCCAATTGGCCATGGTGGCACACACCTGTCACCCCAGCACCCTGGGAGGCTGAGGCAGGAGGATGGCAAGTTCGAGCCCAGCCTGGGCTGCATGGTGAAACCCTGGCTCCTGGATAAAACGGAAGGCGGGGAGAGCTGAGCCCCTCTCATCACCCCAGACAGCACGGAGATGCCCTAGGTGTTCACATAGTGGACCCAAACCTCCCCTGCTCCCTGGGAAGAGAGACCTCTGAAGGAGTGGGTGCTCATCGCCACCTCCTGTTGCCCGCCCCCCAGACCAAGGAGATCACACCCGGCCCATTTCTCCCCGGCCGGCGCCCTCTGCAGGACAGATGCTAGCGGGAGAGGGACCCGGTCCCAGCTCCCTCAGCCGCGGTCTTTGCCTGCAGGGTGCTCTGGCGATTCATCTCCCTCTTCTCAGAACTGGAAGCCAAGCAGCTGCGTCAGCTCTACAAGTACAGCAAGAGCAACCAGGCGGCCAGGCTGCTGGTGAGCTTCCCGGGTGCGGCTTGTGCTGAGATAGGGCACGGGGCAGGGGCTGGCCCGAGCCCCTCCGCCCTGGCCGCTGCGCCTGCCTTCCCCGCCCGGGCAGGTGGGCTCAGCCTCAGACTCCTGCCCCTTGCTGTCCACACCACAGCCCGACCCAGCAGGGACGAGGACCCAAGGAGCCATGGTGGGCACGGCTGGGGCCCCCCAGCCTGGGGGTCTCTGGGTCCTGTCAACAGAGCCTGGCCCGGCTGTGCCCCAAAATGGTAGCTGTCACACATTTTGGTCTCAGGACTCGTGTACCGTCTTCAACACCACTGAGACCCCAAAGACATTTGCTTAGGTGGGTTGTATCTATTCATGTTTACCCTAGTCAGAATGAAAGGTAAAGAAAAACTTTTTTTTTGTCTTTGTGAGACAAGGTCTCACTATGCAGTTCAGGACAGTCTTGAATACACTTTGTGGCCCAGACTGACCTTGAACTCACAACGATCTTCCTGCCTCAGCCTCCGGAGTGCTGGGATTACAGGTGTGCACCACCACGCCCAGCAGAAAAATAATTTTAATATATTTACTAATTTTTTTTTTTTTGTCTTTTTGAGACAGGGTCTCACTATGCAGTTCAAGCTGGCCTTATAGCCCAGGCTGGTCTCAAACTCGCAACGATCCTCCTGCCTCAGCCTCCCCAGTGCATCACCACGCCCGGCCCTATATTTACTAATTTGTTTAAAAAAACAAGGAACCCCCCCAAAACAAACCAGAAAACCCCAAAACAAACAAGGAACCCATTATAGCTTAACAGATTTTATGAAAAATAACTATATTTTCAAAACAACAGCAAAAAAAAGAAAATAGCAGAGTAGTAGTGTTTTACATTTTGCAAATCTCTTTAGTATCTGGCTTAGTAGAATGTAGCTGGATTCTCAGCACCGTCTGTGGTCACTCTCTTCTGGAATATTCCTGTGGATGAAGTATATAAAGAAAACCCAGTCTCACACAGATACTTACTCGGAAAAGAGTATTTTTATTAGTATTTCCTGATAGTTGTGAATATTTTTCTTTGATAGCACACTAGAGTTTAACAAGTGGCATATTCTTTTTTCTTTTTTTTTTTTCTGTACCAGGAATCGAACTCACGACCTCGCCCTTGCTGGGCAGGCACTGTGCCACTGAGCTACATCCCCAGCCCTCTTTTTTGTTTCTTGTTTTATTTTGTACTGGGGTGTGAACCCAGGGCCTTCATACTGAGCTACATTCCCCACTCCTCACTTTGTTTTTCTTGTTCGATTTGAGACAGGGGCTCACCATGCAGTTCAGGCTGGCCTTGAGCTCACTCCCTGGGGCCCACCTGTCCCTCTTCCTCCCCTGGCCAGCACTGACCTTGTCCCCGTCTCTGCAGTTCTGCCTTCCCAGGATGTCACCCAGGACTCAGACAGTAGGTGCCCTTCTCAGGTTTGCGTGGGTGAGCTCTTCGTGCCAGCTGGCATGAGAATTACTGGTCTGTCCTTTGCACCTTAGATGCACACCATTATCCAGGGGGCTCCCAAGGGGTTGGCAAAACACACTTGAGCACCGCTGGTCTAACACAGGAACTCTAAGGAGCAGGTGTGAAAGCCTCTGTACACCAGGCACTTATGTTCCGCCCCGTAATCTGCAGAAGCAACCCGGAGGGGCGATGAGAAGCGCTGTCCTTGGTTTGTAAATGAAGGTCCCATGCGCAGGGAGGTGAAGTAAGGTAGCCTGGGGCACACAGCACTTGAGAAGGAAAAGCCCGGAGCAAATTCTCCTCCCGCCGGGCTCCCCTTCCCTCTCTGCACCTCCGCTTCTTCCTCTGAGCAGGACCGGCTGTATCATTTCAGCCATTCCTTTTGTTGCTGTCATTCCTTTTGCAACATTGCGGATTGAGCCTAGGGCCGCACACATGCTAGGCAAGCACTCTACACAGAGCTACACCTCAGGCCCATCTTTTCCTTTTCCTTTTTTTTTCTTTTGAGACAAGGTCTCAATATGTAGTTCAGCTGGCCTTGAACTCACTACAGAGTCCATGATGGCCTCAAACTCATGGCAATCCTTCCTGCCTCAGCCTCGGCCACCCAAGTGCTGGGATCATAGGTGTGCTCCACCACACCTGGCAGGTCCATCTTTTCTTTTCTTTCTTTCTTTTTTTTTTTTTTTTTTTTTTGGTCTTTTTGAGACAGGGGTCTTGCTACACAGTTCAGGCTGGCCTTCAGCTCACTTTCTAGCCCAGGCTTGTCTTGAACTCACAGTGATTCTCCTGCCTCAGCCTCCCGAGTGCTGGGATTAGGTGCACCACCACATCCCGCCTAATGCTGAGGCTTCTCACTATGTTGCCCAGGCTGGCTCCAAACTTCAAGGCTCAGGCAATCATCCTTCTTCAGCCTTAGCTGGGTCCATGGAGCACACCTTTGTGCCTGGCTCTAGTGAGTCCATTTCTAACTATGAAGAGTTTCCATTTTCATAATTCTTGGATTTCTGGATTTCACTGGACATAAAAATTTCAAAATATCTCCCAGCTTTCAACTTACGTATTTATTTATTGGTGTCAGATGTTAAACCAGGATCTTTGCACTGAGCTACACCCTCAGCCCTTTATTTACTTATTTATGTATTCATTTATTTTTATTTTGAGACAGAGTCTTATATCGCTAAATTGCCCAGGTTGGGCTTGAGTGAGCCAATTTGGGATGCTTTTGTGTCAGCCTCCCAGAGTGCTGAGATTACAAGCATAGGCCACCATGCCCAGCTTTAATTTAAATTTTACTAAATTAAGATTTTAAAACAAGTACCATTGTTTCATTACAAATAAAGTAGAAGCTACCATCCCCCAAAGAGAGAGAAAGCATGACCTTAAAAAAGATAGCTGGGCTTGGTGGCGCATGCCTGTAATCCCAGCACTGGGGAGGCTGAGGCAGGAGGATTGTTGTGAGTTTGAGGCCAGCCTGAGCTACAAAGTGAGCTCAAGGCCAGCCTGAACTGTGGTGAGATTCTGTCTCAAAAAGACAAAATAAAATAAAATAAAATAGAACCTCAAGCCAAGTGTAGTAGCACGTGGCTGTAATCTCAGCCCTTGGGAGGCTGAGGCAGGAGGGAGCCCAGTTCTAGGCCAGCAAGAAGCTGTCTCAACAACAACAACAACAAACAAACAAAAAGAAACCCAGCAGGGGATGTGGCTCAGTGGCACAGCACTTGCCTAGCATGCGTGAAGCTTTGTGAAAATAATAATAAAAGATAAAGGACCGTCCTGCAACCCTAGAAAAGACAGCCGGCAGCCGGGCCCCCGCGTCCCCAGGCCCTCTGTCCCCTGAGCCCGGCCCGTGCCTTCCCGACTCTCGCAGGCGGAGGAGCGCGCGCGGGAGGGCGGCTCGCCCGGCACGCAGGAGGACTCTCTGCCCAAGCTGTGCGACGCCTGGGGGCTGCGCGGCAACCTCCGGGGCATGCGGGAGCGGCTGTCCAGGATGCAGGCCTCGGGCTGGGAGGGCTGCCCGCCGCGGGCGCCCGGGTGCCGGCTCG